TATTTTCCTACATAAAATGCTATCCTAGGTTATACTCTAGCATACATCTGTAACATTTCACTCGCACTCTGTGCTTTCAGCACTTTGATATGTTTCCTACGTAGAATAATAAAGTCCTACGTAGGACTTATTAAGTCCTACGTAGGAGTTGTAAACTCCTAATTAGGCTTTTTTTATCTCCCACGTAAGAGTTATAAAGTCCTACGTAGGACTGTCCTACGTCCTACGTAGGACTGTCCTACGTATGACTAATAAAGTCCTACATAGGACTTATTAACGTAGGAGTTGTAAACTCGTAATTAGGCTTTTTTATCTCCTACTTAAAGGAGTTATAAAGTCCTACGTAGGAGTTATAAACTCCTAATATGGTTTTTTTTATCTCCTACGCAGGAGTTATAAAGTCCGATGTAGGAGTTATAAACTCCTAATTAGGCTTTTTTATCTCCTACGTAGGAGTCTTTTTTTGTAGAACATTTTAAATTGGCACCAGGACGCTTCCGTATATTGATGAAATTACGTTGTAATTAGAGCAATAAAACAATTTCTGTACAAAATGTACGAAGGTTGTCCAATCTTAGCGTGTGTAATTGGTATGTCACCAACAAGCAATAGTTTAAAACAGAGAGGAGTAGTCCATTATTATGATCGACACCCTTATGAAAGATGTGGCTAACTTAGAATTACTGTACATCGATATTTGGGGTTTCTTCAGAGTGGATATCTGCTTACCGGCCGGTCCCGATCGACATCAAACCCTTCTCAGGGCTGGGAATCAAAACTGCGTCGTATCCTACAAAATGTAAACAAACGCCGCCATCTTGGAACGAAAAAGGTATGTTTTTGTTTATAACTCTTTTTGTTGGAAATGACTGAAAACCAAATATATGTATTAACACGCTCCACTATTTTCCGCTTCGTTCGGTATATGTTGCTTGCACAACTATTTTGTATAACAAAAGTTATAGCGAACTTGCAACTCGAAGCGGAGCAGAATTTTTATGAAGTTTTGTGGATACGACGCAGTTCATATTGCTTTATCTATCGTTTTTTCCTTAAAATTAATTATATATTCATTTCAGAATTCACCATAAACTTCAAAATATAATTTTGCATCATGTACTAAGATTTCATTAAAAAGAAATGTTTATTTTTTAAGAAAACAATAATTTTTACGAAATGATACGACGCAGTTGAAAATAAAATATGATACGACGCAGTTGTATTTTGGTTCAAGTATGCTAGTAGTTAAAGTCCAACAACATTTCAGGTTTGCGAATTTTTTATCATTATGAATGCGCACGAGTGACCTATACAACTTAAGTCGAGATTGGTCCCACGAAAATGGAAAGTTCTATTAAGGCTTCATTTTTCGGTCGCATTTTTAGCATCTGACATAAGCATCTACAAATTCCGAAAAAGGTGTATCAAATACATTGAAACACGTGATCGCACACCCATGTGACAACATACGTGTTTAAGTGCTGCCTTAGCATGCCTATAAACTTGTTCCCATGAGTTCGAAACTAATGTGGGTGTTTAAATTTTTCATATGCTCAAATTGCATGGCTTCTTTTGTATAATTTACAACAATTTGCGACAATTCCGTCATATTACTTATGTCTTTTACGTGCCGATTTTATAGTATTAATTTTTCTTAATAATCGATAAGAACAGATGAGCTTTATAATTTGAAACTTAAATCGGTATTTGATCCTTTTTTAACCCTTTACCTCTTATATACGCGAAACAACACACTCTCGACCCCCTCCCCCCCCCCCCTCTTTTAGCGGCAGTCCCCCTCATCGCCAGGAAAATTTTGGACTTGTGAGAGACTAAAAATGACCCCAGATCGATCATAAGGTAACGTGTAACCAACGCTGAAAAGCTTTTGACTCTATCTCAATCCATTAAGAAGTTGCAGCACTTTGAAATCAATTTGACGGTAAAAGTCAACGCAAAATAGTGATTTTTGGCAATTTTGAGATGTCCCCTCGTTGCCATGGTAACAGGAAATTTAAGTCTGAGCATGTTGTTACAAAGGCAATGGTCCAGTCAACATTTGGCCAAGGTTGATTAGTATTGAAGCAGTTTTTATAGCAACGGGAGACCTTCCAATGAAAACAGCCATTTTTCACAAAATGCTTATGAGGTAATGGGTTAATACATGATCAGGAAAAATGGTCATTTATTCTGAACAATAAATTTTTAAAATTATATTATAAATGGTTAAGCTACGATATATTTTTGCAAGTACTGTATGAGTTTCGTTCAATCTTTTTTTATGTTCAGCGCCGTGGAACTTTACCGCTGATTTTGTCGTATTGCATTTCTTTATCGACGACGAGAACCGGTCTATGGAAAGTATTTTCTTGATACGCACTATAGTGTCATTCTTCCTCATTAAAACACTTTAAATTTTCAAATTCGGGTTACAAAAGATAAAACAAAAAATATTGTGTAAAGTAGCTAGGTGTCCGTTTTGCAAAGGTATTTTACGCTTTGCACCGATAAATTTGATACAGATATATGTACGTCATGATGTTTCAATAGTATTGAAGTTTTCCTATATTAGATTTAAGCCGGGATGTTAAAACTTAGGTCAGATTATCTCACTGAATTTTCCACAGAGTAAAGAGAAGGTTCTTACCATACCTTTATATTAAAGTGTGATTTTTATTTGATAATGAATTGCCTGACACATAAAACTTTTTTTTTCTTCAGAAAATGTCTTCAAAGAGGATTACCCCATGTTTACATTGAAAAATTCCCTGCTACTAGTATTCTCAACAATGACACATCCTTTTTTAAAACGAAATATCAAAATAAAAAGTGATCTTAAAGAGTAAGAAAATATTTCATTTTAACAAGAAATTTAAATGTTATTCTCTTTATAATTAATTAAATACATGTAGTTGGAATCTTAAAACTTCATGCCAGAAGTTTATTCTTGTACGGCTGACATTTTAAAAGACCATGGTTAACAAATTTGTTGGAAAAAAATCAGACAGGCCGAGCTGTTTATGTTTACTGACTTCAAATCACTTGCACTTAACTGCTGTGAATTTGAAAACCACTAGGGACTTCTGATTCTCTCGTGTGCTAATTGTTCTCTAAACGTGAATTTTGCCTGAAAGAATGCACAAAGGCGCACCTGAGGCTCTTACCCCCAGTGAAACTAAAGTGTAGACTGAAAGTTTGAAATAAATCCACAAAAAAGCAGTCATCACCTAGAACACGCAGACCCACAGTTTACTAAGAGCGTAGCTAGACAAAATGAATTTTGTGATTCAAATTCATAGACTTCTATATTTTGCCAAAATAAAATACGGATTATATTGAACATACAAGAAAATAAAATAAAATATTTCATATATTATGATAAATAAAGTAACATGTTCATGTTTATGTTTTACTGAAAAGTAGCTTCTGCAATGTAAATTGGACATGACACAATGTTTTCTAAATAATCAAAAGCAGCAGAACATTGCTATAAACTGCGAATGATCTTAGTTTCTTTATCTAGCACAAGTGATTATCCAGTAAGATAGACATATATTGCCGAAATTATCCCTGTTGAAAAGATTGCCAAAAATTACAACTGCGTCGTATCATATTTTATTTTCAACTGCGTCGTATCATTTCGTACATATTATTATTTTCTTAAAAAATAAACATTTCTTTTTAATAAAATCTTAGTACATGATGCAAAATTATATTTTGAAGTTTATGGTGAACCCTGAAAGGGGTAAATAATTGATTTGAAGGTAAAAACGATTGATAAAGCAATATGAACTGCGTCGTATCCACAAAATTTCATAACAATTCTGGCCCGCTTCGAGTTGCAAGTTCGCTTTAACTTTTGTTTTAAAAAATAGTTGTACAAACAACATATACCGAACGAAGCGGAAAATAGTGGAGCATGTTAATACATAAATTTGATTTTCAGTCATTTCCAACAAAAAGAGTTATAAACAAAAATATACCTTTTTCGTTCCAAGATGGCGGCGTTTGTTTACATTTTGTAGGATACGACGCAGTTCTGATTCCCAGCCCTGCTTCTGATGGTGATACTTTTCTGCCATGGTACTTTACTGCCCAAGAATTCTTAAAAATCTTTGTAAATAACTTGCCAAATGAAATTTACAAAGTGATTCCTTTGTAATAACCTGGGTCATTTATGTCATCCGTTTGATAGAGCGGAACAATAAAGCATTCAGTCCATTGTGTAGGAAAATAATTTATGACAAGCTACAGAACCTGGTTACTAAATGGTATCAATAATATACAATTTACCGTCCTACAAGAATCGAAACATCTATCTTGTTTATAAAAATAAAATTAATGGTCATTTAGTGCCTTAAGATACAGATTACATCAAATTATTTTATTAACTTCAGAACCGCTCAATAACCTCCAGAAAATAAAAGGAATCTAACATTTTCAAGTTTTTAAGACAAAAACATTTCTTCTTTTTTTTATTAAGTATTGATAAATTCTTTTGTTCTTATTGTAATCACATGTTACACATGAAAGGTATACTGTTTTCCAATTTTCATTGTAACTGTCTATTTTGCCAGTCATTTGTATTCAAAGTACGCTTTATGGTTCAACACTACAATACAATGATCAGCTAAAATATTTAGACCATTGACTAAATCTATGTTTATGTATGCAATGCTTTTAGAGTTATTGTGGTGGTTCTCTCATTTTGAAGCTTAAAACACGACGGTCTTAGCACTTTAAAAACGATACTGTATTTCTCCTTTTTTTCTTTTAGATAAAAGATTTTTTCTATTAGGTAAAAGATTCATTGTAAAATAATAATCTCACACTTGCATCTCTGGATTGTTTTAATATTTTTCATTTCGTGCGATCCTGTCCCAATATATATACATATATATATATCAATATAGCTTATCAACATTATAGTTGTAAACATGGCAACTGTTAACCACCGATGTAACATTAAATTACTCTCAACAAAAGAAATATACAACACATAAAGAAAAGCGTTTTATATTTGCATTTAAATGAACAGATAGTAACAATAAACTATATAGTTAGTGAACTTGAGTAGAAACATGGCCATTAGTGAAGAAAGCAATGTCATTTTTCTCCGAAACTAGGGAAATGAAATTGAGCTTGCTGGTATTCTTGGCATACCAGGACACGGTCTTGATGTGTCATTTTCATCAAAAAATAAGGAATCACAAGTACTGTAGTCAATGATTCTTACACATCCTTGGATTCCAATAGGGCCTGCTTTCCATCCATACCTGTAATCATAAAAAAGAAGAAAAGCATTAAAAGTTTGTTTTTATAGCAGAAAAGTATTATAAAGTTAAGGATAACAGTAGGCCTACATTTATATATATTGTATTAGTTGTACAGATTGTTTACAGATTATGGATCTATATAAACGGTTGTTTGCAGGACGGGTTATATTGCAAACAACCGTTTATATTTGTATTTATTATTTGCCAAAAATCTTCATAAAGAATTCATAATGAGCAAACCTCATTCAATTTAAGAGAAAATAATTATTTCATTAATTGACAGTAGCCGAACGTCTCGATTATCCAATGAAAAGCGACGTTACAAACGTACAGATATATTTAAGACAACCTAACAATAACCACTTTGGCACCGCACCACTCATGTAAATAACTGTTACTCAGTTCCGATAACAATGAATAATTTATATTTGTAAATATAACCCGAGCCGTCAGGCGAGGGTTATATTGCAAACAGACGTTTATATACGGCCATCTAACCTGTCAACAATCTTTATAACGAATTTATAATACAGCAAGCATCATTTTTTTAGAGAAAAATGTAAGATTTCTTCATGAATCGACAGCAGCCATGTATATAAAACTATATAAACGTCACGATTCTCCAATGAAAAGTGACGTTACAAACGTTCAGTATTATAAAAAAAACTATACAAACGTCACGAATATCCAATAAAAAGAGACAACATACCCACAGCAAGCCATACCGCCACCATCTCCACAAGTACATTCTTCACAGTACGGTGCTGGTGATCTGAAGGTTGAATTTATACTTATTTCCCATCCACGATATTTACACGTTGTTATAGGTCGCTCTGTTTGTGAAACATATTATGAAATAAAATCTTACACTCTGTAATAATAATATACATTCATTTTTTTCATTTTCTTATTTGTTTGCATTTTTATCAATTTCTTGCATTAGTGTGGTAGACTGCGATCTACGAATATAACTAGAACAAGTTATATTTATAAATGAAACAGTCAACCCTTTTATGTAGTATTGGTGAAACAATGCATTCCGTGACAGAATGGAATATTAAAAATGTTATACTGTACTACTGTTCAATCGTTATAGTGGAAAAATCAGTAATGTATCATTTAAGAAAAAATGGGTGGATTATGTCATTTTGTGTAAGAAAATGGTGATTCTACAGACATTCAAAATGTACATATACAACGAAATATGTGATTCTGACGGAAATTGTTGATAATACACATACACAAATATATATTAACGCGCTCAATATTCACCCGCTTCATTTTATGCACGTAACTTGCAAATCTATTTTTTTTTTAAAAAACCCGGCTTTTCTACAAAAATAAGATAACATAAAAACATTTACTGTACCTCCCGGACGAATCCCTACACCACCATAAAAGCCACATGATGCCTCCACATGCTGCATGTAAAATAGGCAATAGGCAACACCAAACACAAGTGTCGTCTGCAGCATTATTATTGTTTAGTTTCTACCTTGCAGTGTTCGTGTGGCCAGTTCTGGAAGCTATGGTGAACATTTATACTGGTGATCATCAAAATAATATTTCTATTTATTCTGTATTACAAAATTGCCGGAAGAGATTATCACCATTAACGTAGATAGTGAGACAAAATAATTATGCTTGATATTACACTCCGTCATATCACAACATATTAGATGCAGCCCAAACTATCATTAAATCACGAGTAAATTCTAACAATTTGTCAAATAATATAGCAAAGTGACATAAAAAAATATTTATAACTATAGTTGAACTTTATGTCTCTTATAATCTACATAAAGGGGAGGCAAAAAATCGCTGTAAGTGTAAAATTTAGTAAATGCATGAAAACATTTGCATATACCATTAAAATGAATCCAATGAAGTTTTTTTACATGATCGAAGATCCTGGAAATATGTTTTCGAGATTTGACGTAGGTCTGGACCAAGTTATTGATGTAGGCCTGGACAAAATAATTCATTTAGCATATTAATTTTTAATGGCACTCGTTCACTCCGTTTTTCAATAATTCTATTTTCATCGGGTCAAACGTCCCAAAAATGAAAAGCGTTGAACGCTTTTAACCCAAATCCAAGAATCGTACAGAAATCGATTTTGAATTCAATTATGAGTAAGTACATTAATCCCTTTTTTTGCATAAAAATGTCTAAAGTACCCGAGTTGTTCTACATATATAAGAATTCAAATTTTATGTTTTAGACGTCTGGACCGCCCAGTGAAGCTCCTTCAATCTAATCGACTATTATGCTTTGCAAAAAAACAAAAACAAAAAAACTCTAACATAATAAGGCGACATATTGGAACAACTTATTGTCACATGGTAAAATTGAGAAGTCCTTATAAAAAAAATATAATTTATGACATTATATAAACACAATTTTGAGCATTAGATTAGCATCCCTTCCCCCCTCGTTGTGTGATTTTTGAAACCTCGATGTTGCAGTGATTTAAGTTATTCAATGTAAACTTGAATATTGTGTTATGGAAAGGGTTGTATCTGATCATGTCCATTTGACTTGCGCTCCTTCGTTATTATTGGTACATTAGTGAACACTTATGTACTTGTTCCTTTCGCAATTAGATGAAGTCAATCACTTTCTGAGGCCCACATGGAAGATCGGGACACCGAATGTGCTAGCCTCATTAAATTAAGTCGTTACTTACTGTAGAAATATGTTGCCGTCTGACATTCGATAGCAATCAGTTAATGTAGTCCTTGTATCTCATAACGCGGTTAGTTGGACACGGCGAAGTGTTACGAGCCAGGCGTACGAGAAAGAAAAGCCAGCAACAAACTTGTAACAATAACAAATTTATTACAAAAAAATTAATAAAGAAAATCAAAATAACAAATTATGTTTACAAATACCTGAAGTCCAAATAAAAATGTAAATTACAAAATGTCTAGTCTGGTCCTGGAATGATCCCTTTTTGAATAGCACAGTTAAATCCAAGTAAAATCCAAGAACACTTTAGAATAAATTCCCACAATAAAATCCACAAGAATAATTTTAACTTTTTTAAAATAATCCAAGCTCCAATAAATCACTTAATATCCAAGTTGAATAATACTCCAAATATATTGATGACTTAAAAGGTAACTGATGACTTAAAAGGTCACTGATGACTTAAAAGGTAATACGAAAGAAAAATGTCTTCTATATATATTAAGCTAAGAAGTTTCTAGAATAGTCTTCCATTTACTACAGTAATCATAATCTAGCAACTTCCACAATAAAGATCATTCCGGAAGTTTCTATCTTAATATAATGCATGAGTTTTCTACAACAGTTAAGAAAGTTCTAGTACATACATGTAGTTTATGTTCTAAAAATAGAACAATGATAATATTGGAAATACCAACTGGTCAGATATAAATTATATACATGTAATATGTTGCATACATAACAGAAGACACGAAGACAAAGAATGCACAGCTATGCACACATTTAACCAATCGTAGTTCGTAGCCTGTCGCATATTCACGTTCGCAAACGTATACTACATGTTGAAAGAAGAATCCAAACAAGTAGCTGACAAAAGTCAATTTAAATATCAGCTTTGAACCTTAAATGATCCTTTCAAATTTCAACTATTGCTCCTATATCTTTCTATTATCATTTACTCAGTTGGTTAACGTAATCACTGTATAATTTTTCGTATATATACGTGATTCAATGTGTATTCCTGCAAGTGACAATCTTTAACATTCAAAGTTTTCTAAAGATTGTTAAATGTATGGTTTTTATTTGTTTGGGTCGTCAGACCAAACAAATAATGGTAGCGAAATTTCAGACATTGATGCTGTTAATTGCAAATGCCGAAAGTAGTTCGCTTTTTTGAAGCGGTTACTTCTCTTTATATGTACACTAACGCCGAAAAATTCAGGGGAGATCACTGCGTAAAGATTGTCAAATGACAGGCGCATTAATTTTCAAGCAAAATAGTTCCCGAATGGTCGAAGATTTCTAATATTGTTTTATTCTTTATAGATATACATGCTTATAGTAAGCTCCATGATTATTTACATCTGTGTTAAACAACAGGTTTATCGTCGAAATAATAAGAGTAACAAACCCTAATTTAGAATAATATGGTTTTCTTCAGGCCGTTAACATGTAACTTCAACGTGGCCGAGTGGTTTGCACGCTCGCTTAGGAATCAAGAGGTCTGGAGTTCAAAATCCAGTTTTTTTAAGTCAAATAAACATTGAATTGAATATCAGTGTTGCAATTAGTCTTATAACCAAATTCACTACAGTTAAAACACTGGAAAGCATTGGTGGCACTATACAAAAACAAATTAGTTTATAATCTCACAACCTTCACCTTTCTGACATTCTGAGACCCAAACAAATTCAGCGCCTTCTGTGCTTTGATTTTGTATGTTACTACCAAGTTGATAGCATTACCGGCGGAAAAAATTAACATATTCAGCCGCATGTGTTGTTCCAGTTGCTGCATGCCCTTTTGCTAATGCTTTCCCTAAATAACATAGAAATGTTTTGTTGGTTTATTTTTTGCTACGTATTGAAAATATCCTTAAAAATATAGGCAGATGTAACATAATTTAAACAACCCACTTGCACAACTAAAGATATTGACCCCCCTCCCCCCCCCACCCCCCCAAAAAAAAACAGAAAAAAACAAGTCATCATGAACATTATTGCACGTTTCGAGGACAAAAAAACCGTCGGAATTTAACATACTCGAGCCATCCCAAAAACTTCCGTGACTAATATTGACAAAATAGACATAATTTAACTTGTCTATCGTCATGATTGCACTGTATAATGATTGTAAATCATGAGATAAATCATCTGCCAACCATTTCACATACATATTTCTTCAAACACTTGACCTATACTCAGTAGTAAATACAGTTCCTACAGAAAATAACGCATTATTTTGCTGTGGACAGACATTGCCTGATCAATTTACATAACAATCATTACTTCTTTGCACGAGAAAATGAATAAAGTAAAATGTTTTAACAAAATGTGCAACATAAACAATGATTGCCAATGAGTTTCATTTCATTTACCATACTCAAACTGCTGGCGATAAAACGAATACACTCTTGTTAGTTGTGTGAAATAATTTAATTCCTACGAAAAACAGTTAATTTGTTTGAAATGTCTGAGAAAACAGAAAATGTTATCATAAGATCTTTATAAGGATTATTTATATCTTGACCTTGATTAGCCCTTGCCGTCAGTATAGTTGCAGATCAGCCAGGCCAGCCTGCACATATGAGGCTTTATACTCGTGATTGACCAAAATAATATGAGCCACGTCATGACAAAACCAACATAATGGGTTTGCGACCAGCATGGATCCAGACCAGCCTGCGCATCCGCGCAGTCTGATCAGGATCCATGCTGTTCGTTATCAGTTTATCTACTTGTAATAGGGTTTGTAAGCGAACAGCATGGATCCTGATCAGACTGCGCGGATGCGCAGGCTGGTCTGGATCCATGCTGGTCGCAAACCCATTATGTTGGTTTTGTCATGACGCGGCTCAAATAAACATCATATTTTATGTCAATAAGTGATACACGGACAGTTCCAAAAGTGGAAACTGGACATGTCAATTTATGAATTTCTGCATGTTAAGACGGTTAAGGACTGAAACAATTCTAATCTTAGAATTCTGATATGTACAATTTCTTTCATGTAAGGCAGAACATTTAAATGTAACAGATAAATAAGTTTTACTTAGTATATTGAAAATTTCATGCATTTTAGAAAAAAAAATTGTTTTCGGATTTTTGGCTTCTTATACACCAGTAACAACATAGCATATCTTAAACAGTTCTTTATTCCTTTTGGTAAGTTTTGTGTGTGCCTTTTACTATCATTGAATATATATATTTTCTTAATGTGATATATTGAGGTGACTGGTAATTCGTGCATTTTCAGAAACGAACATATTATACGTACGTTTCAGAATAAAAACAAGAAGTTATACTTTTGTGGTCGGAATTCACTCATAACCGGTCATCAAATAGGGGCCGGTCCAGGAAAATAATCTAATATTGGGCAAGGGTGGTCGCTAATTTTAGAATGTGTTGTACCAACTCTGAGATACATTTATAATACGCGTTTTATATTGCTTACAGTGGGTAATGTAATGTTATAAAGATTGCTTCCAAGTGATAATGACAATAATAACATCTTTACATAAAGAAAGTTACACATGAAGATAAATAAAATTATACCATCGTACTTACAAATAACGTATCTTGATTCTAATGTGGTCATCTGAACAATCAATAAAAACACACAAGACAACATCATCTTTTTATGTTAAATTTTATTAAACAATGTTTAAAAAAAAACTTACAAACTTGTAAATGACGACATCCATTATAATACCTTAAATTTGTTTTCATATTATAACTCACTTTTGAGATTATTCTAAATTATGAACTTAGCATAAGAAAATAAAGATTTCAACTGCTTTGTAATCGAATTTGGTCCATTCAAATTAAATTAAGACCATAAAAACATGTTCTCAGATATGAGCTATTGTATTATAACATATAAAGCTTATTCACATATCATGTCGACAGGTCATTTAGTTTGAGAAGAAAAAACTTGATTCCTAATCGATACAATAGTGCACAAGTCATGTAAAATGTATGTTTTATCTTCTTTCTATTCCCGTATCTATTTGAGCCGCGTCACGACAAAACCAACATAATGGGTTTGCGACCAGCATGGATCCAGACCAGCCTACGCATCCGCGCAGTCTGATCAGGATCCATGCTGTTCGCTTACCAAGTTACCAACTCTATAACAAGTAGAGAAACTGATAGCGACAGTATGGATCCTGATCAGACTGCGCGGATGCGCAGGCTGGTCTGGATCCATTTATATTACATGGTATCCATAACGCTCGAATGTAACACATAACATGAGCATTTGTAACATCATAATTGTACTGTTTCAGTTTAAAAAGAATAGACTACTTTTCCAGAAACATTTACAAAATAATTATTATAAACGCATTAAATAACAGAGAAATTATGAGTTATGTATGTTCATATAAGGTATACAAAATACCGTAACAAACTTAACTGCAGTTACAAAATCTTTCATGACTTGCAAGTGTTTGTCAAGTTTGTAAAAAGACAACAAATACTTTTTTATTACACGTAATGTACACTTTTTCATGTGGCACAAAATTCTCATTGATGCCACTTAGGACCGCAAGCGGCATTACTATTCATATGGTATCATCCGATTTATCAATTTGATAATCAAATAACACTCACATTACATTGTTTCTATGACATTATATAGTCAATGTAACTTGAATACATGTAGCTTGCTTCTCTTGAAGTTTCCTGTAAGATTTAAGCATGAAATTGAAATGAAAACGCGTTCTTTATATAATGCAGTACATGTATATGTTTTGCTGCAGACAAGATAACCTTAATGTGCTCCACTCTTGAAATATTGATAAGGAGGTCTTGAACAACGTAATCTTTGTCATAGGAAATTTCAAAAGAGGTAGGTGATTAAAAGTAAATTTAAAGGCTTCTTAAATTACAAAATTTTGTTTTTCTTTCCTTCTATTATGAATGACCTGACTCTTCCAAGATTATATCTTAGCCCTTTCACTGCCATAGGGACGGCATATGCCGTCCCTATTATTTTGGCGTAGTTGCCATATGGACGGCTTTTGCCGTTTCTATAATAATAATAATACAATGTAATAATAATAATAATAATAATAATAATAATGTAATTCTTCTTTGAACTGCTAGTAAGATTGTAAAAAGACAAAGCATTTTATTGTTTACCAATTATTCTATAACATGAGTCTTTAATTGATTTTTACAGTTACAAATACAAAAAATGAAGGCTGTTGGTATTTTCTTGGCTCTTTCAATGTTTTTGTTCGTAGACTGTTCTCACAAACGACTCATAGATCCTATCAGAAACGGGTATAAAGGTATAGTATATCAATCTTTGTGAGAAGTAAGTTAAGGTTATATTAGCAATGGCAAATATGAGGTTTTGCCAAAACCTTCTTTTTAAAATAATATTGCAAACAAGGAAGTTATATATGTCTTAGTAATTTTAAAATTATTTTTATTCCAATACTGTATAGAACCAGCAAAACTTTAATCCAGTGTGGCACCAAGATAATTAACTGATGAGGTTGGTTTAATGACCTGGCCTTTATAAGATACATTTAAGTTTTGATTAATATTTCAATCTATCCATTTTTACTTCATCAACATGTTAATTCATAAAGAAAATTGAGAGAATCTTATTTTAAACTGTGATTGATATTTTCCTTATTTGTTCTTTCCAGTCTTTTTTCTTTCTTTTTCTCTTCCCTTTCTTTTGCGCTCGGCGTCCGTCGTTCGTCGTTTCCACAATTACTTTAAACAACATCTCCTAAACCGCTTGATGGATTTTGTGAAAATTAAATCACAATTTAATCTTACTCGTATTACTGTTTGGTGTATACAAAAGAATATGGTCCTCTGTCCTGGGAAAACCACATGCATAGTCACCTTCCACATCATTAAGTTTTCTCGGCTTCGCTTCCATGGCATCTTTTTTCCAATGAATGTCGAATTCTTATTTTTCTTAAAGATGTATTATGCTCCAATCTGATATTTAGAAATATTGATATTTTCTACACACTCTTTTAGTAAATGTAAAATAAACATGTTAAAGTACACACAGATTATATATATTTTGAGTTTTTTACGTTTACTATACTTTACTATACGTCTGCAAAGAACCGTTTTACTCTACATATCCTCTAGCAACATTTTATATGGCCTTCTACGATAAATGATGTCAATATTATTGTTGATTTTGTGTTTTGTAATGAAGGAAGAAAGCTTATGTTTAATTTTTGTACAAAATTATACCGTCTTGTGTGGACTACCAAAGCTGCATTTGTAATTTTCACACAATTTAAAGAATGTTCTCGAAAACCATAAAACGTAGGACAATGCACTTGGTATTGATATTTGAAGAAAGTTACCGTGCATATAATAGGCCAGGTCTAGTTTGGATTAAGGAAACGTTTCTCACTTAAATTTATAAAAAATAATGAACTTACCGAGGCTCAGAAGTCGCCATTACTCGTTTGTATTACTATACAAAGACACATGATTCCCCCGTGATTTTATTATGTAACTATTCAACTAAATTTCCCACTTTTACCATAGACAGATGCGCAGAAATCATGGCTTTAAATGAAAATGACTGTGGTATTTCCGGCCTATGGACAAATCAGTTAAAATCTGTCATGGAATTCACGTGTAAGAATGGACACCTTAGTGGACGATACAATACAGCTATTGGCAATGCAGACGACTACTACAATCTAACAGGAAAGTATACAATGTCCGGTCCTAATGGCAGCGACTGTGTAATGGGATGGGTTGTTACATACAACAATGATGTTTTCGGGAATTCTAACTCGACATGTGCCTGGTCGGGTATACATTATGGTCATGAGCACATCATCAGGACGCATTGGGTACTCACACATTGGGCGCCGCTGGAAGATACATGGAGAACAACGACAATTAACCACGATGACTTTGTTAGTTTATGTTAAGACGGTATGTAACCATCAAAGACACACATTGTAAATGTATGTAAACTGATGTTGTATGTCAAAATTACACATTGTTGGTGGTTGCCTTCATTATCGTTTCAAACAATAAACATAGCTGCTGCAATTTTAAACAAGATAAATGAAAGTATCTATCTATCTATCTACATACAAAGTTTGAAGTTCCAAGGCCAATGCGCTTGGCTTTGATGACCGATCGGTTTCCTTGACCTTTGATCTTTCGAATTGAAATTGGGTGCGATTTGTCTGACCCACGTATTAAGTTTCAATGTAATAATGTTGTTTAAACGTAACCAAAATAGGTTAACCAACGCCAACGCCGCTGAGTTGGTCATGACAATAAGTCCGTCTTTTCTCCGAAAAATCAGTGTCAAATAAAATTTTGTTGTAACCAAATGACAAATACTGCTTTACTATTTCAGGTTACAAATCAAGCATACCTTTCAGAAAATGGACAAGTGTACCATATTGTACATTTATACTTATTTGTGATATAAACAATAAAGTTCTTGTATAAAGCAGAGTTTTTCGGTTTTTATTCTGTAACCATTGTAACATTGAAAAATGCATTTTGTAAATCTGAAAGCATTTATTGTTGAATACATATAATTATGTAATCTAAATACATAAAATTAAATAAGGTTGTTTATCTACAAAAAAGTAATATACCGTATAATTATGTGACTTGTAATCAAATTAAATCCTCAAACCACCGACATCAAATTATTTCTAAAAAAAAGAAAAAAGAGAATAACGGATTTACGTATTTTTTAATAATAGTTATCTATTTCACTATGATTTAAACTATTTTTAAAAACAATATGTGTATCAACTTGAACATTAGACATTAGAAGTCTAGTATTGAGAATATTGCCAATGTGCAATGCTGATAACGGCAATGTAGGCTAGATTATGTCACTTTCTTTGCAAATAAATTGTCGGACAAAAGGTAACTCGCTGGATTTATTATTTTCAATAACAAACACATATCGTATTCTAATCGTTAAAAACGGGCCTACATGTAAATTACTATTTCTATTTAGTAAAATAGTAATACAATGTTAAATTCAGCTTGTCAAATTCACATGAGATCTTGCCGGTGTTCACTAAAACCGGGGTCTTTATTTGAAATACCCTGATAAAACAAAGAAATTATACAACATACCAATCCCCTTATCATTGAGGGAACACAGCTGACATCTTTGGAATAATATATAATTATATGTAATAACTTGTAATAGACTGACTCTTTCAACAAATATGTAAAAGAATCAGTAACAAACATGATTTTTATATTGTACCTTATACAATGTTGTTTAGGTGTATAAATTTGCTCTTAGTCAGGATGAGTACATTTCCTGTTTTTCTATAATTCTACTTGTCAGTTCATTAGTGAGAACATTACAGTATGAGCTGATATATCAATATGCTAGTAAACTTCCGAAAGCCACGACAAGATATAATGTTTTATTTATTAATATTTTTATGTATAAACGTAATTCGTCAATTATTTAAGTTTTACATCATGCACTACTTACAATACACACAAAAAACAACAGAGAAAACAACCGAAAATAAGCTTTCTTATTACGTAAAAACATAACATTGATGCAGTAGTCTCCCTTTATAAATGTATCGCTATCCTCAGAAATCCATATTTATTAAATTCTTTAGAAATGTCAAACATGTGTTTAATAATGATTTCATAAATTGATTTAGAGCATGTTAGATGTTTAACAGCTGAGGAAAGTAGCGCTGAATGTGCAGTAATGTGTCGGTCGTAAAGGTAGCAAAATGTAAAGTAAGTAGTATTGACTACAATACAAAATACTTATTCAATATAATTATACCAACTGCAAACAAATCAAGAGTAGCAAAGACGGTTCAATTATATGACAAATTAGTATTTTTTTAAACTGTAACAAGAGACCAAAAAAAAGTATTTGAGAAATAAAAATTGAGAGAATTTCTGAGGTATGATAAATTTAAATGTACACCATCTGAATAAAATTACTTGAACTATTTATTGGCGCACATCACTTAACATGTTATACAAATGATTCCCAACAATCCCTTATTCTGATACCAAGGTATTTTCATTGTATCAAAATCAAAAACATATGTTTTTGCAGTAAGGTTATCATTGTTATTTTAATTTGCGTCGTTCTTATAATCATACATGCGCTTAGATAACCATTGTTATTAGTCATGTTTCCATATTGGTCAGATAATGTCGGCCTATGGCAAGCCCATAAATTACAAGTACAAAAATGTTCAGAAGAAACTGACATGCAACCTGACATCAATATTATACAAAAACATTCTCTTCTAGCATAACAAGTCAATTAACTTCACTTCACATACATATAAAAATAACTTTACAAGATTATTATTATTCTTTAATAACTCAGAAAAAAATCATAAGTTTCATTCGATAGCTTATAACATATTTCAATGACATTTTTAGCATTGTAAGCTTTTTAATTTGAAATAGCATACAAAACATGATTGAAATTAACTCTTTTCTCTTAAAAGTATTGGTGCTCTTACAACGTGATTAATATATATAGAATTATTATGTAAACTTAACATTTTGTTTTCGTTAAATTCGTATTGTTTACGCATCCTTGTTCAGCTGATGGCCAACACAACAGATCACAACACCTTTGTTAACGATGATAAATGTAGAATCAATAAATTAACAACACCAAGTCAAACATGCCAACAGCAAGGTGCCTTGTCACGCGGCGTGATAATATATTGAAGCACGCGCTAGCGGAAAATATCTTATTCTGTGGCCAATTTTGAAATAAATTTGTTACGGTATCTTAATGCTTTGTATCTTTTCATTTTTTACCCTATACCAGTTATTCTAACAGATAAAACACAATATAGCAGTAATAAAACATCTAAAAATGATAAAAAAAATACTAATTTATATTGTTGAAATACATAAAAAGTGACATTATGCCCAAGTAAGAGTAAATGATGAAAATGCAGGTAGAACAAAAAAAGGTTTTTTTTTTACCAGTCCATCAATTGTTTAAACTAAATACTAATACAGTTGCGTAAATTACTTGGTGCTGGTTAAAAGCATATTATACCCCAGTAATAAATATTTTTTTTCTCCTTAAAAAAAGCAAACCTCAGTTTTATCAATTTAAATGTGGGTTTAAAAGATTATTAGATATTTATTACTTGAATAAATTAGAACTGGAAGTGAAATTATTGTCATAGTAGTAAAATGTAAACAAAACAGTGTTATTTGGCTTCCATACAAAATACTAAATCAATATAGAATTGTACTAATTGCCAGAAAGCAACAAGAACAAAAGATGGTTCAGGTAACAGACCTATGAGTATTTTTTTTTACAAAGATAACATGACACAAAAAATAAAAAGCTTTTAAGAAATAAAAGTAAAACCATATCTAAGGCATAATTGGGCCTTGACGCATGTTGATTCTAACAGTGTTGTGAACTTGTTTAAAATGTATGAAAGATTGTGAACTCTGTCATACAAGTAGCATGTATTATAATCCGTTTCTGACTGAGTAGATCAGATTGGTTTAAGGATATAGAAAGAAAATGTTTTATATCCATACAATATTGTTTAAATTTTCATTTGAATATGACAGATATTACAGAGTGTACCTTATTTGAAACAATTTCTTGTATATGTGCAATGTTCTTATAAGTGGTGTGTTTATATATAATATCAAATATGAAAGAGATATGTAGTAGAAAATTAGAAAAACGCAAACCAATGACAACAAAAGTAATAAAATAAAGGATTCTTTGTATAATAAGCTAGTAATCAATTATGTTTATCCTAATTTTCTATGGTGTTAGAAAATCAACATGAAGATTTGCGTGAATATTACCGTAAATTTTCAGTTAATAAAGTATTTTTGCATTGTTCTACTTGTATACTAACTACCAGCAGTTGCAGGTATCTTATGATAATAAATTAATGGGGTGAGGGAACTTTAGTTCTCTTTCAATGTGTCTAACAATATTATGAAACTGAAGTTACATTTGACGAAATTGGTGTTGAGAAAGTAAACTTTTCTGAATGTTTTCATATAACGAAAGATAATAAGTACTATTTGTTTTAATTATTGTTTGTTTGTTCACTCTTACGCCCTTCAGGGCCATAAGTTTTTTTGTTTATAAATAAATAGAATTAAAAAAAAGTTATGCTCCAACTCTGAAACACGTTGAAACGCGCCGCATTTTCTATCTTATATAATTATTTACATAAGGTTCATTTACGTCAAACTCATATAGTTGCTAATTATCAACAGTGTCCTTAAGTCTTGTTGATGCTTGAAACATATCCGGTCGCAGTAAATAACAACAATTATTTAGACATGTTATGTACATGTATTAAACGCTTACAGACTTAATATATGTCTTCGTTAAACTTAAGTTTTCTATCATTAACTTAAGAAATATTTGTAGCAAGCATGCTAAAATTAAAGGAGAATGAAGCAGTAAATTAACAAACTATATGTAAAGCGTCAACATTCTAAAACATTTCCTTTCTTCATAATAAGTTTCCCTTCTAAAAAGACCCCGAAAAGCTCAATTAGATTCCCGCTAAAACGTACGAAGATTAAATATAAAATGTAAAATAATATTTACAAGTGGTTACATAATATACAGACAGTACATTTCACTAAGTATTAATTTTTTGTCGACTTATCACATTGGTTTAACTGGTTTAACTCATGAAAACTAACCACCAATGATAAGTCAAAATTCAAAGCGCAGAAATACTTCAAGTAAAAGTTGAATCAAGGAAAAAGGTAAGTGCCAACAGTATATTTAAATATTCTAGAAAACAATAAAAAAAGGCCGATTGATTAACCATCTGTACTTTGTTGTCAGGTAATATTATAACGTGGCAATAAGAAACAAACTGTGAAAAGAAATCGTCTTGTCGCAATCCTTAAATTAGCAAAGTTATCACCTTTGGTTCTGACATATTGATCCCAGAAGGTCCCTATCACTATATAAGAGTGTCCGGTCTGATAGACTCTCATAACACTTAGCATTGCAGCACAAGGTAAGCGCTCGTTTCTTCGTCGACATATTGTAATAGTTTTAAAAATCTCTCCTTATTAGGATCTACTTAAAAGGTTACTTTAACTTCTTTTAAGCATCACTTGTTTCAAGCATCAATTCATTATTTTTTTTGCTTAACTGTAAAATATAAAAGAAAGAAAAGTATGTTGATCTTTTGAACACTGATAATATGGAGCGAGCGAGGTGTGTACATCAACTACAGGAGAAAAAACGATGAGATGCCAAAAAGGATAAGGGCCGACGGAAAAGGTCGTCCATATCTACAGTGTGTTAGTGTCCTCACTGGTTTTGTAAGATGGTCATTGGTGTACATATTCCCCCCAATGACTACCTATCAATCCTCTGTGTGCACTTACAGTCAACAACCGGACAATATAGGAGGCTAGGATACAGAAATCAACGAGGTAATCATCACGTATTGTAAATCCC